TGTGCCAATACTATGCTGTTTTGATTATCACAGCTTTGTAATATACTTTTAGGTCAGGAAGTGAGATGCTCCCTATACCACTCTTCTTACACAGGATGCCTTTGGCAATACAGGGTCTTTTATGATTCTAGACAAATGCTATGATTATCTTTTTTAGATCTGTGAAGAATATCTCTTGTAATTTTATAGAGATTGCATTAAATATGTAAATTAATTTGGGAAGGATTGTCAGTTTGATTATGTTAATTTTGCCAATCCAGGAACATGGGATGTCCTTCCACTTTTTTGTGTCCTTTTTGATTTTCTTTTTTAAGGTTTTCATAGTTTCCCTTATAGAGGTCTTTGACTTCCTTGGTTAGTTTTATTCCTAGGTATCTTATGCTTCTTGTGGCTATGGTAAATGAGATTACTTTCTTCAGTTCTGCCCCTTTCTGCTTGTTGTTTGTATATAAAAATGCTATAGATTTTTGTAAGTTAATTTTGTATTTACTACTTAGGGAAGTTTTCTTGCGGATAATATTGCTCGTGGATACTATTGAGTCTTCTATGTAAACAATCATGTCATCCGCAAATGGATAATTTCGCTATTGGAATGCCTTTTAATTCCTTCTCTTGTCTTATCGCATTGGCTAGGACTTCCAGTACTATGTTGAATAGGAGCAGAGAAAGTGAGCAGCCTTGTCTTGTACAAGTTTTTAGTGGAAAAGCTTTCAGCTTTTTCCCATTCAATATAATGTTAGCTATAGGTTTTTCAAAGATGGCTTTTATTATGCTGAGAAATGATCTTTCTATGCCAATTTTCCTGAGAGTCTTATTAATCATAAAGGAATATTGTATTTTGTCAAATGCTTTTTCCACATCAATAGAAATGATCCTGTGGTTTTTATCTTTCTTTCTGTTATTACTATGTATTTATTATTGTGTATTACATTTATGGTTTTGCATATGTTGAACCACCCTTGGATCCCTTGAATGAAACCTACCTGATTGTGATGAATAACCTTTTTTATATGCTGTTGAATACAATTAGCTAGTATCTTATTGAGAATTTTTGCATCTGTATTCATCAGAGATATAGGTCTGTAGTTTTCCTTTTTTGTCCTACCTTATCCATTTTGGGAACGAGGGCAGTTGAGGCTTCATAGAATGAATTTGGAAGAGTTCCTTTCTTTTGGTTCTCTAGAAACAGTGTGAGTGAAATGGGGGTACTTCTTTGGTTTTTTGTTTGTTTGTTTTTTGAGAGGTTTTTGCTATAGGGCGCGTGCGCTCGGCAGAGAGACAGAAAGCAAGAAATCACCCCCCAGGGGGGATGGCCACGCCGCAATCCCTTCTCCTCCATTCTCCTCTCGGGATCTTGGGCACGCACACGCCCGGCATGAGTTTAAGCCACTGGGTCCAGGACGCGAATCGCGGTCGACTACGTGGGAGTCCAGTGACATAGCCATTACGCTAACTGTTGGTCCTGGGGTACTTCTTCTTTAAAAGTTTTATGAAATTCAGCAGTGAAGCCATTGGGACTGGACTTTTGTGTGTTGGGAGGTTATTTATTACTGATTCAATCTCCTTGCTTGCTATAGGTCTATAGTCTCCTATGTCAATCTTGTTAGATTATATGTATCCAGTAATTTGTCCATCTCATCCAGGTTTTCTTCCTTGTTCACATATAGTCGCTCATAGTATCCTCTAATGAAGTTTTGTATTTCTATTATGTCTGTTATAATGTTGCCTGATTCGTTGCAAATTTGATGTATCTGGTTCCTTTCTCTTCTTAATTAGTCTAGCTAATGGTGTGTCAATCTTGTTTATCTTTTCAAAGAACCAGCTTTTGCTCTCATTTATTTTGTGTATAGATCACTTATTTTCTATTTCATTTATTTCTGCTTGAATCCTTACTATTTCTTTTCTCCTGGCATTTTTTGGATTTTTCAGTAGTTGTTTTTCCAGTTCCCTGAGGCATGATGTTAGGTTGTTCTTTTGCCACCTTTCCATCTTTTTCTTGTGTGCACTAGTTGCTACGAACTTCCCTCTTATGATTGCTTTTGCAGTGTCCCATAAATTATGGAAACTTGTGTACTCATTATCACTTTTTTCCATGAATCTTTTGATTTCAGTCTTAATCTCTTCAGTAGTCATGAAGTCATTCAGAAATAGGTTATTTAGTTTCCATGAATTTGTGTATTTGCAAGGGTTTTTCTTGAGCTTAATATCAAGTTTAATTCCATCATGGTTGGAGAAGATGCTGTATATAGTTTCTGTGTCTTTGAATCTGTAAAGACTGGTTTTGTGTCCTATAATGTGGTCAGTGTTTGAGAAAGAAGTACCATGTGGGGCTGAGAAAAATGTATATTTTGTGTTTTTTGGGTGGAAGTTCTGTAGATGTCTATCAAGTCCATCTGATGTATGGTATCATTTAGGGCCAGAATCTCTTTGCTTATTTTTTGTCTCATTGACCTATCTAAAGGAGATAATGGGGTACTGAGATCTTCAACAATTATTGTGTTATAGTCCATCTCTCCTTTTAGATCTAATAGTCTTTCCTTTACATATTTAGGTGTTCCTGATTATTTTATTTTATTTTATTTTATTTTATTTTATTTTATTTTTAATTTGAGCAGAGAGGAACAGAGCTAGAGAGAGAATGAGAAAGCAAACCTCCAGGTCCAGGACTTGAACCACGGTTGGCCACGTGGGAGTCCAGCGTCCCTAATCACCTTGCCCCCTGCTGGCCCCTCAAATCAGGAATTCTTAATTCATGATTCATTGGTGAGTTCCTATAGAAGTGTATAAAACCTGAAAATGTACACTAAAAAATTGTACATATATGCATTTTTTCTGAAGTAATATTTATTGATTACCTTATGTTTGCTACTGTGGTATCAGGATTGTGGGGATATAGTAATGGCCAAATGAGACACAGTCTCTGCCTTCCCCTAGGCAGTAGATTAATAGGGGAGATAGGTAGGCATTAATTAAATAATCACCTAAATTTAAAAATTGTAGATATATAGAAGGCGGCAGGTGGCATGGTGGTTAAGGGCAGTGGACTCCCACATGACCGACAGTGTTTTGAGTCTCAGACTCAGCAGCTTGCTTTTTCACCTTCTCTCTCTCTTGCTCTCTCATTCTCACTGTCACTCTCTCTTACTCTGTCCCTCTCTAGTGAAATTTAAATAAATAAATAAAGTTAAATAAAATAATTATTTTTAAAAAGTATATATATATATATTTGTGTGTGTTTGTGTGTGTGTATTGCGTGTATGTGTATAGTATGTGTATAATATATATATATACACATCAGATAAAGTTTATATCTCTTATAAAGATGACTGCTTTATCTACAGGGTATTTAGAGCAAATGTACCACAGAAGAGGCATGGTGATTAGAATATAGGTAGTAAAAGATTCCTAGTCTTTCACCAGATACTTATTGAGTATTTATTATATGTGCTGTTACGGGTTCAGAAATCTGGCAGAACAAGTTCAGGTTCCTACTCTTAGACTGTTTACAGTTGAGTGGGGCGTAGAAGTGATAAGCAGTAAACAAGGTTGTGAGGCCAGCCGTGGTAGCACCACTCTGTGATCTGGATCCATGTGGCCAACCCAGGCTTGGTACTTGGGTCGTCCTGTACATGTTGTGTGCTCATACATGTGCCTGTGATCCTGACTGGCTGGGAAGATAGAAGTGTGGCATGCGACATATCCCTTTCTTTCTTTCTCCCTGCCCCTCCCTCTCTCAGAATAAACAAAAACTTAAAAAAACGTAGATAATAGAGAAGCAGAGTGTTGGAGGACAGTGAAGGAATGAGATCCGAGTTTTATTTGAATTGTTTTTAATTTCTTTTACTTTCTTATAGGGTATTCCTAAATTGAGGTGTGTGTAGTTTTAATTTTGGATAAATCACAAGGATCACTACTAGATCAATTTTTGTATAGCAATAATGACAACCAATATTCATTAAAAGTGTTCTGTGACTGTCATGAAAAACAAAGGTTGAAGGAACTGTTTCAGACTGAGAAAAAGTGAAGAGACACTATAACTAAATGTGCGAGGGATCCTGGAATGGATCCTACATTGGAAGTTTTTAAAAATACTATAAAAGATTCTATCGGCATGGTAGACAAAACTGGAACATAAATCGTAGATTAGATAAAAATATTATGTGTTTTAAATTTCCTAAATTTGATCACTTTACTGTGTTTACATAAGAGACCAGTGTTGATCTTAAGAAATATAATGGAGTATTAAATAGCAATGGAACATAATATATGTAACCTCCTTTGAAAGAGTTCACAATAAAATGAATTATATATTTATACCTGGATATAGAGAATGTTAAAAAAAAGATAAATGTAGCAGATCCGGGAAGAGGACACAGGGACTTAACTAAATTGTAAGTTATTTTCCTATAAATTTTAAATCCAAAATAAAAATGAAAAAAAACAAAGCTATATGCTGCCCCATCCATTATGTGAAGCTTTGTGCATTAATGTTTATTAGTCATTCCATTCAAGCTATCAGATGTTTAATATTGCTATTCTTGTTGTAGAAATGAGAAAACTAAGGCTTTAAAAGGTTAGGTAACCTATTTATACACTTACTCTGAGAAAGTACAAAGTTGGTATTTGATTTACTACTATAACCATTAGATACTCAAACAAAATACTAATAGATCTTTTAAGAAACTTGAAGAAGTGCCTATAAAAAAGTAAATTTCTAGTATCACCACTACCTCTTTGCTTCTTTACCAGAAGTAATTCCTGGTATGTGCTTTTGGAGGTTTTATGCATTGAGAGAATATATATTCTTTAAAATGGAAATACAGTAAGCAAACTATTTACAATTTTTATGATCTTGTGGCAAAACCTCTTTATTATGTTTAAAAATATTAGTTAGAAATTATTTTATTAAAAAGTAGTAGCTCTTTTTCACCTCAGTTTCTAAAAGTTATATTGACCGCATTTGATATGTAAATTAATTTTTGTCATTTGACCTTTGGCAGGTGGTTTTGGAATGTATGCTTAAAAAAGACCTCATTTATAATAAGGTCACTCCAACATTTCATCACTGGAAGATTGACGAGAAGAAGTTTGGCCTTACCTTTCAAAGTCCTGCCGATGCTAGGGCTTTTGATAGAGGCATTCGAAGGGCGATAGAAGATATTTCTCAAGGTATGTTTTCTTTGACCATTTCTTTAGTTTGCTTATCAGTATATATAGTAAAGGTCATCTTTTTTAAAGTTGACCCAAAGGGGTTCTTGTACTTTAAAAGTCAGCATTTGAGATATGTAACCAGGCTTTCAAAGCTCACAATAAGTGAAGATAAAATAATGGACACCTTAACTTATTTTACATTAGTCATATCACAGTCTATATATTCCAGTTGTATATATTATCTTGAAGAGTTTATCAGCAACAGCCTTGAGATAATTCACATGTTTTAAAGGGAGAATATGACAAAGAGAGACCATAAGTTATAATTGTCAAAACTCCAGTGGCTACCCCACTTAGATATGTGTTCTCTTAGTCACGTGGTGTTTTTGGTAATTCAACAAAGAAAGACCTTACAGTATTCAAATTTATGCACATTCTAGTCTACGACAAAAACCTTCACTTGATTTTATTATTGTGTACGGCAGAGACCACAATACAACGTCTTTCTCTTTAAACATCTTGCCAATCTGTGAAGCTAACTAATTAAGCACACAGGTTTTGAATAGAAAAAGAATGTATTTTAATGTGAGACTGACTTATACTTACTTAAACAAAAAGAAATCACACTACTTCTCACTTCTCGAGAGGAAGAAGAAAGATAAGTAAGAAGGAAAATAAATTATTTCTTAATGGAATTTTTAGTTTGAAAGCAACCGAATCAAAATGTGTGACTGTAGTATGGCATGTATATTTTGAAGATGCCATTTTAGTACAAAAATTTGAAGAATTTGATTATGAGACTAGCCACAGGCAAGAACACGAAAATTCTTAATAGAAATCTATTTTGATAGCACATGAAACTGGTTAAATAATTGATTTACTTTAAAAGATTAGAATTTGCTAAACAAGCATTCTTTGATTACTGATTCAGAAAAATTTACCTTAAAATGATAGCAACCATTTTACCTATTTTTACAATAACTCCCAAGTTCTCTCTAGATCAGTCAGTGTTCACAATATTAGCCATATGTTAGAGTCACCTGGAAAACTTTTGAAACTTTGAATGACTGATTCCCGTTCTAGTCTAATCAAGTCTGGCTATCTCAGGAAGTAGTTTTTTGTTTGTTTGTCTGTTTAAAGAAAGAAAGAAAGGGAGACAAGGGAGAAATTAACCCCCAAGGGTGATGGCCATGCTACAGTCCCTTCTCCAGTCTCTTCTTGGGATTTTGGGCATGCACACATATGTACCCAGCATGACTTGAAGCCGCTGGGTCTGGGACTTGAACTGCACAGTTGGCCATGTGGGATCCAGATGCCCTAACCTCCACACCACTGCTGGCCCCCAGTAATCCTTTATTTTTTTAAAAAAGCTCAGAACATTAAAATGTGAGGAATTGTTGCTACAGTCAAATGATTACAGTTTGCATTCAGAAAACATTTAAAAGGCGAGTATGGATCGTAGATCTCCAGCAAAGATTTTAGTGTAAAAAACTAAAAAACAAACAAACAAAAACAACACATTATGCCCTATGCCTCACCCCACAGAGATTCTGGCAGTTTTGGTTGGGAGTGATACTCTTAACATCAGTATATTTTCTAAAAGTTCTCCAGTTAATTTTAACCTTTTGCCAGGTTTGAAGAACCAGTGATTAAGAGAGAAAATCATTACTATGGTTGTTGGAATTTATGTGATTTATTTTAAAGTATTGATTCACTTTTAAGTCCAAGCTATACTCTTAAATGAGTATGCTTCTGTCACTAGGATCAAATAGATTTGGTTGGTTTATTTTTTAAAATGATTAGAATGAGGGACTTAGCAAACTAGCCAGGTAGAATACACTGCAGTCCTCAACCCATCTTGTTAATTTTAAACCCTTTTTAGCATATCAGTTAGCATTATTATCCACTTCCATGTAGACATTAAACAATCCCTTTAAATTTCTTAGCCTGTCATGCCAATATAAATAAACTATACTACATTTTATAAAAGGCAAACTTCTCCTTATCTCATGCCTGTTCTTTCCTAGCTACATTTGTTGAGGGTAGCATAAACTCAGAGTACTTTGCTGGGACAAATGCTTATTAACTTACTGGAACTGCAGGCACTTTTAAACACTCTGAAAATTTATCTAGAAACGTTGATGCACAAAAATCCATAGCATAGTTAATTCTGTGCTTAATTAACGTTTTCTATTTGCTAGGATGTCCAGCATCAAAAAGTGAAGCTGAAGGAGCAGAAGATGACTTACAGGTAAGTAGTTTGGCTTGATAGAAATTTCTTAATATAAAGGATGTGGAAGAAATCAGTAGCCTTAATAAACTCTAAATTATAGTGAAAAAGAATCTCTAAGACCTGTGTCTGTCAGGGCAGAAGATATTTTTACATTTGGGAATTTTTTTGTTGCTTTTTGTGTTTTTTTAATTGTTTGGTTCATTTACTTTTTTAAGAAATTGGCTCACAGACTGCAGAGATTGGCAAGTCTGAAATCCCCAGGGTGAACAGGCACATATATTGGGAATTGATTAGAGTTGATGTTGCAGAATGGAGTTAGAAGGAAATTTCTAGGCAGAATTTTTTCCTCTGTGGAGGATTTATCTTTTCTCTTAAGGCCTGCATCTGCTAGGATGAGGCTACCCACATTGTAGAGAGTTTTTTTTTCTCATTATGTATTGATTTAGGTGTTAGTCACACCTAAATAAAAATAATAGTAATCTTCACATCAACATCTAAACTTGTGCTTCATCAAACAGTCTGGCAGAAGAAACTTGCCAAGTTGACATGCATTAACCATTATAGACACCCCATTCCCCGGGGATAACTAGTCCAGGTTCGTGTATTCAAAATACACAAAAGAAATTGAGAAGTGCTAATAAGTATATAAACATTGTTTTCTACTTTTTGATAAAATAAAGATTGATGTATTTTTTTCCTTTTTTTAAAAAAAATAATTGCCAGAGGATCTGTGTACTTCTAAGAGAGAAAAAAAAAAAGAGAAGGAATCTCCCCAGTGGGTCATGATCATACTGCAGTCCCTTCTCCTTTTCTCCATCCTGTGGGATTTGGGGCACAGATGCACACACAGGTGCCCAGCATGTTTTTCAAGCTGCTGAGACCAGGATTCAGATTGTAGTCAGCCATGTGAGATCTGGCCCCCTTATCCACCAGGGTGTTGGACCAGCCTGGTACATTTTTCTAGGAAGCAGTTTGCCATTAGATATTGAAAAGCCTTAAAAATAGAAATCTTAATGTTTCTAGTGATCTAGTAATTCAATTTCCAGTGACATATCAAGGAAATAGAGATGCACAAAAATTTTACACATGGATTTATGTGTGTGTGTATATATATATATATATATATATATACACACATATATATATATCTTTGTGTATGTTTATATATATTATCTGATTTAAAAAATAAGCTATCTAAATACATAACTAATGGGAAAGGCTGAATAAAGTATATCTAAAGTTTATTGTTTACAAATTTGCTTGTAATATATTGAGCAATAAATACAAAATTTACATTGGGTCACCCTGTTACTCAAGTAAAATTTTAGCTAAATGTTTTTGTTCATTATCTTTGGATTGTGATAGTCTTATCAATATGGGTTTTTTTGAATACATACTTTTTTGTGTTTCTCAAATTTGCTGCAATGAATATTAGTGCTTTATGATAATAGTAAAAGAACCATGTGTATATATACATATATTATACCCATGTATTATGTTTAAAATTGTAGTGAGCTAAAGACTTGAAAAATACTAATGTACATATTGCTTATTTGAATACTTTTAAAGTCAGGGAATATGAATATGTTTATTTTAGGAAATTTGAAATATTTAGCAAAATTTAAAGAAAAAAACAAATGTATTACCGTCCATGATAATCTCTGTAAATATTTAAAAATATAGCCTTTGGTATTCTTTTTCTGTATACATAAATTCATAAAAATGTGTTATGATATCCTTGTATGATCTGCTTTTTCTCACTTAAATACCAGTAATATATTGCATATCTTTCATATTTTTCAAGTTTATAGTTTTTTCTATTTCAGTGAATTTTCTTTGAATGGATATCTGATCTTGTATATTTGATAGTGCTTCTATGTGTATATGAGTGTGTGTATTTAAATTTATTTTTATTTATGATAGATTGTGTGCCTACACATGAGAGTGAGCACCTGCCACAGGATCTGGTTATACCATATCTCGTTCCTCCAGTCTGCTAGTCCATAGGCTTGGGCACACATGCTTATGCTCAGTATTTCAGGCTGTTGGGGCTGGTGGTTACCATATGGGATCCAGGGCAGACTCTGAATGTGTTCTACTGATGGCAGACCCTGAATGTGTTCTACTGATGGCAGACCCTGAATGTGTTCTACTGATGATTTTGTTTAAAAGCCCAGAGTTGCAATTAGTTAGATATAAGAAATATGTAATTCAATACAAAAATCATTTTTTTAGTTAAAATTTTCCAAGGTCCCATTTTGCTCTGTATTAGTCCAAATATGGGACCAGACATGGCCGACATGTTTTTGGGCTTGCTTAGGACTTGCTTATGATAAAAGTAAATTGGGTTAAAATTCAATTTAAAAAAGAAATTTTCACATATTAACATTATGTCCCTTAATTATTCTTCCTAATTTGCTTTTACCTGATTTCTGTATATAACAGAGTACATTTTTTAAAAACTGCTAAAGGACATCATTGTCTGCAAGGCTTTCTGCATATAGAAATCAATGAATTTGGGGGACCAGCAGATGGTGTAATAGTTAACATCACTGGGCTCCCATATAGTTGACAGCGGTTCAAGTCCTGGACCCAGAGGTTTAAAATTCACGCCAGGCACCTGTACATGTGTGCCCAAGATCCTGAGAGACCAGAGGAGAAGGGATTGTGGCGTGGCCATCCCCCTTGGGGAGTAATTTCTCGCTTTCTGTCTCTGAATTTTCTAAAAATTACAGCCTGTTTTTATAATTATGTTCACTGTTAGAACCATACTATTGGATCTTTGTTGTAGAGTAACCATGCACACACATACACACACACACACACACACACGGAGGATATGAATAAAGGAAAATGTATTACAGAGACAGACAAAATAGTAAAAAGAAATGGAGGAGAAGGCTAGTAAAGATTATTATATAACGAAAACATCAAGAGTAGTTGTTATGTTGTTAACCCCTTGAATTCCTTGCTTCATAGTAAGGTATGGCCAGTACCCTCAATCCAAGTTTACACTCACACATTTCTAAAAGAGTCGTTTATATTGTCCCTTCAATACATACTAAAGGACTCAGTTTCTATTTTCCTGAGATTACCAAATGATTATTATAAACTTTAATTATTTGTTAATGATTCACTTTTTTAAAATACACAAACATGAGACTAAACTAAGCATGTCCAGGTCTCAGTAGCATTTGAGAATCTTTGAACAGAATCTATAGTTGTTTTTTTCTCTACCTAATGTCTAAGTTTTTTCAGGTATTTTCAGGTTCCTTGTTTTGTTACTTCTTACAAAGTGAAAAGAAACTTGCTAGAAGATTCATGTACAAGAAAGTCAAAACAACAAAACAACTTTTTTTTTTTGAGAGGTTTTCGCTATAGGACGCGTGCACTCGCCAGACAGACAGAGAGAAATCACCCCCCAGGGGGGATGGCCACGCTGCAATCCTTTCTCCTCCATTCTCCTCTCGGGATCTTGGGCACACACGCACACACGCCTGGCATGAGTTTTAAGCCACCGGGTCTGAGATGCGAACCGCAGCCGACTACGTGGGAGTCCAGCGACATAGCCATTACGCTAACTGCTGGTCCCTCCAACAACAAAACAACTTTAAAGCTAAAGCTATCTGATACTAATGACTTGTACGTTCTAGTTTGTAACTCTGAGAAACAATATCAAATAAGCATTACTTATAAGATTGGTACGCATCACTGTAGCTTTTATTTCTCTGAGATAACAAGCTGTAAAATCAGTGCTTAGTCTCCATGTTTAAGTATAAAATTTCTTTCAACAACCCTAGTTGTTGTTGTTGTTTTAGAGATTTTTTTTGCTGTAGGGCACATGCACTCGCCAGAGAGACAGAAAGGGATTGGCCACACATCAATCCCTTCTCCTCCATTCTCCTCTCAGGATCTTGGGCACACACTCATATGTACCCAGCATGAGTTTTAAGCCGTGCCCGGTCCAGGAACCACGGTCGACTACATGGGAGTCTAGCAATGTAACCATTATATCATCTGCTGGTCCCTCGACAACCTTAGATTTCTGTAGTGCTTTCTCTACATCTCTTTAGTTACCTACTGGGTGTCATACCTTGGACAGATGGTCAAAGGGAAGCATCATAAGGGGGTGGATACAGTCAACTTTGCTTCTTGTTTAGTCTAGACACTGATTCATAATCAAGATAGAATTCTTGAAATTAGTGACAGCCTTGACCTGTCTTTGTTCTGAAGTTGTACTCATGTAAGTAAATCCATTTCTTCACCATTAACTAAGTAGAGCTTTCAGAAAGAATCAAGCATAGTCTTAGGAAGCATCATGGACTGAAACTGGGGGGGTCCTGGCTCTCGGGCTCCAATGTGATCCTAGGCACAGGTTCTTTTCTTCCTAGATACCAGGAAGTCATAAATTGCTTTCTGTGTGTTGGGATCTTTCAAATTTGTCTTTCCCATTTTGAAATATACAATAAGTTCATGTATTTTGAGATATACAATAAAATTAATGTCAACTTTCGTCACCCTACTAACTGCCTGCTAATATGTGGTTGATTTTTTTTTAAGATTACACATGTGAGTGAAAACATACACAGTATTTGTCTTCATACTTCTGGCTTATTTCACTTAACATAATATCCTCTAGGTTCATATATTTTGCCACAAATGACAGGAATTCATTCTTTTTTATAGCTGAATAATATTTTATTTTATATGAAATATTTATATTCATATTAAAAATTATATTTACCACATTTTCTTCATTCATCCATTGATGGACTAAGATTAATTCCATTACTTGGCTTTTGTGACTAGTGCTATAAAAAGGGAGTGCTGCTATCTCTGAAATATTGATTTCCTTTTCTTTGGGTATATAACCAGTAGTGGGATTACTGAAGCATGTGGTGGTCTTAACTAAAAAAGTATGTGGTTTCCAAGGGTGGATCATAAAACAGTACATTGCAACTTACATCTCTTTTTCTGTCATGGATCACTAGTTCTGTGGGATGCCCAGGTGCCATGTT